CTGAGTGCCAAAGAATAGATTCTGTTTGAACTGTGGTGTTGGAAAAGACTCTAGAGAGCCCCTAGGATTGCAAGGAGATCAAACCAGTCAATCCTAAAGGAAATCAACCCTGAATATTCATTGGAAGGACTGATGCTGAAACTGAAGCTCCATACTTTGGCCACCTGATAGGAAGAGAACTCATTGGAAAAGACCCTAATGCTGGGAAAGATAGAAGGCGGGAAGAGAAGGGGAGGACAGAGGACGAGATGGTTGGGTGGCATCACCAAGTCAATGGACGTGAGTTTGAGCACATTCTGGGAGATGGTGAAGGACAGGGAAGGTCTGGTTTGCTCCAGTCAGTGGGGTCACAAAGGGTTAGGCACGCCTGAGCGACCGAACAACAGCGACAACAAGGACCAGAGAAGTGGATGAGATGGAGGATGGAAATGCAGCTCAGTCAGTACAGTCACTCCGTGTGTCCGACTCTGCGACCCATGGACCGCAGCGCGCCAGGCCTCCCTGCCCATCACCGACTCCCGGAGTTTACTTAGAATTCTGTCGGTGATGCCACCCAACCATCTCATCCTCTGGCGTCCCCTTCTCCTCCCGCCTTCAATCTTTCCCAGCATCAGAGGCTTTGCAAATGAGTCTGCTCTTCGCATCAGGTACCCAAAGTATTGGAGTTTCAGCTTCAACATCGATCCTTCCAAAGAATATTCAGGACTGATCTCCTTTAGGATGGACTGGTTGGGACTCTCAAGAGTCTTCTCTAACACCACAGTTCAAAAACATAAATTCTTCAGCACTCAGCTTTCTTTATGGTCCAACTCTCGCATCCATACATAACTACTGGAAAAACCTTAGCCTTGACTAGATGGACCTTTGTTGACATAGTAATGTCTCTGCTTTTTAATATGCCATCTAAATTGGTCATAGCTTTCCTTCCAAGAAAAGCAATATAGAAAATCAATAAAACCAAAAGTTGATTCTTCAGAAAGATTAACAGAATTAGCAGATCTTTAGCTAGATTGTCAAAAAAAAAAGACTCAAATTACTAAAAGGAATGAAAAAGAGGACCACTGACCTTACAGAAATAAAAATGATTATAAAGGAATACTCAGTTCAGTCGCTCAAACAATTAAATGCCAGCAAATTAGCTATCTTAGATGAAAAGGATAAATTGCTATAGGTAACTAGCTCCTGAACCAAGTGTCATTTTTCCCAGTTGTCTCTCTGCTGAAACCATCGAATGGTAACGGAAATGATTGATAAGCCTTCTAAGGATGTTTTCTTTTGGCTGACGGAGTGTAGGGTGCTAGTCCTCTGGTATGATTTTGGGTAAACTAGAACTTGCACATGATCCTCTTGAATTTGTTAAGACATGCCAAAACAGAAAACTCATTTTTTCCCCTTAGAAACCTGGCCATTGGCTTTTTCTCTTCGGTCTCTCTAGAGTTGGCCTGATAGTTGGGGGTTGGAAAGGGGATCTTTGCCCTACGCTGCTGATCATGTTGTCTACCTTGTCAATATACCACAGAACCAGCTTTGGTTTTCTGAGTGCCCAGTCTCACTTTGTATATTCCCTGGGCCAGGCTCCTGTTTCCCTGGCTTCTTTCCCAAGGCCATTCTACTCACTTCAGCTTTGAGAAATCTGCCTGCATATCCTTTGAAAAGGCAAGCAGCTGTGATACCTTGTCAAAAGGGAAATAGCAGTCTTGCTAATGTCAGATTTGTATGCTAGTTCCTTAAATATTGCCCAATGTCAAACTTTTAGTGAGCTGGCCATTCATCCAGCTTATATTTAGTGAGCATCTGTTTTGTGCAAGATGTTACAGGATGCAGGTATATACAGAAATCTTTGGTAATCAAGACAGATTAAGATCCAATATAGAGGTTAGAGATGGAAATGAAATACTTTTTAAGAGGAAAAGCAAGTATCATTAGTTAGTTCAGTTGCTCAGTCATGTCTGACCCTTGACCCCATGGACTGCAGCACATCAGACTTCCCTGTTCATCACCAACTCCTGGAGTTTGCTCAAACTCATGTCCATCAAGTCTGTGAGGCCATCCAACCATCTCATCCTCTGTCGTCCACTTCTCCTGCCTTCTATCTTTCCCAGCATCAAGGTCTTTTCCAATGAGTCAGCTCTTCACATCAGGTAGCCAGAGTACTGGAGCTTCAGCTTCAGCATCTGGCCTTCAATGAATATTCAGGGTTGATTTCCTTTAGGATGGACTGGTTTGATCTTGCAGTCCAAGGGATTCTCAAGAGATTTCTCCAACACCACAGTTCAAAAACATCAATTCTTCAGCACTCAGCTTTCTTTATGGTCCAACTCTCACATTCATACATGACTACTGGAAAGGCCATAGCTTTGACTAGATGGACCTTTGTTGGTAAAGAAATGTCTCTGCTTTTTAATATGCTGTCTAGTTTGGTCATAGCTTTCCTTCCAAGGAGCAAGTACCATAAACCATATAAAATGTTTTATTTCTGTGAATTACAGTCCAATGAAATCAATTTACTGGGTTTGTTAACCACTTTTTAAAAAACTGAAATATCAGTACATTGCATATGCTAAGGTGATTTTTTAAGATTTTTGTTTGCTATGTTATTTGTAATGAAGATGCAGTGCAAAATATTTTTTTTACAGTGGGTTACAGTAAAAAAAATTTTTTTGAAAGGGTAGATCAAATAGGCTTCAGGAGAATCAAGCTTTCTGAATGGAAGTGGTGGCTTTGAAGAATTAGAATTTTAACAAGTGGAAATGGGGGAATGAGTGGAAAAAGGAGCATATTTGGAAGAAAGGGAGAATTGAGGCTCCAAATCTGGCACTAGGCAGGAAAGACTGAGTGAGGAAGGCAGGACTTTGAGTATACCTAAAGAATTTTGTAGGTGGGTGGATATGTAGAGTTAAGACCTTTTGATTTTTAGCTGTGTTAATAATTAATTGAACTCCCTAATGGATTACTGATAGCTTATCAGCTCTGGTGGACTTTGGCAGCTCTGCTCATTGCTGGTTGCAAACAAGTGAGAATGCTGTGATAGGCCCTGTGGTAGGGTGTCAGTGTCCTCCCTCCCCTCCGGTCTCTGTGACAGGTACCTTTCCCCCCAGCCTGTACTATTGACACATTGCCTGGAAGAGCCATGGGGATTGCTTTGAGACCTCAGTTTTAGGAACAGTATAACACCTCTCTGTAATATGTATTTATGGGCTTCAAACTGTTCAGAGCTCCATGTGTTAGAAGCATGCTTGTTTTACTTAATCACTGGGTGAGTTTCACATTCCTCTTCCAGAACTTCAAGAAAAGGAAGGCGTGGTAGAGACTGGGCCATTACTGACAACCCACTGGAGATCGGGTTGAGAGTCCCAAATGGATGACATCATGTCTGAAAAATACTTGAGTTTAACCGGGGAAGACAAACATAAAGGATTATTACAGAGATGAAGGGGCTCTGAAGGAGATTCTGCAGGGATACCATTACTTTGCAATCTCTTGGGAAATGAGAGGAGTATCACCCCACCCCTTAACTCCACTAGAGCACTATAATTGCAGGGTAAGGATAATTAAATTTCAGAAAAACCCCACAGCCCAGCTTGTCTCTTCAAGTGGCATAAATATTCTGGCCTGCTCTGGCTTTGGTTCAGTGCTTTCTCTCTTTTTCCCTCTCTACCCTCCTCTAAAGGAGGAACAGGCTGCCACTGAGGCCCAGATTCTTCCTGCCATCCTCTGCAGGGGTTGTCTCCTTTTCCTTTCATCACAAGCATTGCTGTCCTGGGCCTTCCTCTCCCCAGGACTTGCAGGGTGGGATGCGGTTCCCCTGCTCTGTGCAAATTCAGAGACGCTTGGCGTCTACTGAGCAATGGTCACCGAGCTGGAACAGGGCCTTGGGTACTAACAGGCTGCAGCTCTGCTTAGAAGGCCTTTCCTTTGGGTCCCCTAGACACAGGTGGCAGCTGGCCTAGCTGCAGAGGAAATAATCATGACGTCCAGCAGACTAGAACAATGGGAGTTTAATGGGTGGCTTATTTTTTCAAGAAATTTGCATTTCCGAGGCTAGATATCCATCTCAATAGAACTGCTTCACATCTGAAAAGAGTCCTAGGACACTCCTCACACAAAAATTAACATTCCTCCCAGCCTCCATTAAGCAATATGGTTTCTTAGTTTGATCAGTTTGGTAGAGTGGTGCGACATCTTATTGGAAAAGTGAGTATGATAACGGCGTATTTGGAACCTGAACAGGAATTTTTTGTTCTTTTGTCTGGTGGCTAAATGCAGAAGAAACATTATTACCAATGGATGCGTTCCCCCCCCCCCCAAGAGTATTTCAGAATCGAGTTGGGGAGGAAAAAGCAGCTTTTTATATTAGTACACACACACACACACATTAGGTGGGTACACACACACATTAGGTGGGTACACACACACACACACACATTAGGTGGGTACACACACACACACATTAGGTGGGTGGCAGTGTTACTCTGAGACACACACACACACACACATTAGGTGGGTGGCAGTGTTACTCTGACACACACACACACACATATTAGGTGGGTGGCAGTGTTACTCTGACACACACACACACACACACACACACACACACACACACACATTAGGTGGGTGGCAGTGTTACTCCGAGAGGATGGAGACCAGGACAGAAGGAGGGAAAGGTCTTCATGGGCGCTTTCCCGAGGAAACCTCAGTGAAAGATGAATGGAATTTGCAGCAGGGTTAGAAGATGAAGCCGATAGAGCTAGGAGGTGAGCTAGGATCTCGGCGAGCTAGGGGCTCGAGCTCAGGCCCCAAGGCGCGGAAAGACGCTGGCTTGCCTTGCAAGCCTGGGCAAGCCAAGCTCCGGTCGGGTCTGGCGGGTGGCTGGCAAGGAGCACTCACAAGTCGCCCTACTACCGGCCGGAGCCCACGTGGCAAGCCCTGGGGACAGTGGGGTGGGGCGGGGCGAGGGCGGGGGCGGGCCCGGCCGTGACGCGCAGGGTATATAGCGGGGCATGCGCGCCACGCCGAGGAAGGACGCCGGCAGGGGGCTGTGGGCGCGCGGGCTGCCTGCGCGGGCACGCCGACCTAACTGCGCTGCCGCTACCACTGCTGCTGCGGGTCCCCCGGGGGACCTGGCTTGTGAGGGTGCGCGAGGCCAGGTGGCATCGGCCCAGCTTCAGGTGAGGGGGTAAGGACATGCGGGAGGGGCAGCTCTGTGCCCCGGGGATGGGGCATCGCGCGGAGGAGCAGTGCGCCTCCGGGGCTCGGGGTCACCGAGTGGGGGTGGGGGCACGGCTGCTCCGAAGACCTGGAGCCGCTCGGGCGGACCCACACGCGGGCCCGGACGCTGCATGGAGGCGACACCTGGCCACCTGGCCGCGGTGCCACGACGAGGGTTCCTCAGTGGCGAGGGAAGGGAAGGTACAGCTACGGCCCCTTGGACTGGAGAGCGCGGGATGTGGGCGCCAGAGAGGATGTCGGTAGCCGTACTAAAAGGCTGAGAGAAGTGCCCTGGAGCCCATGGACTCGAGCAAGGAGAAAAGCAGAGAGTGGACTGGCAAATCTGGTGGGCAGCTCTCAGGATGGCTCTGATGAGACAGTAGTATCTAGCCTTGGCTTTCCAGGAGCTGAGTGCCCCACTTCACCTGGGCCAGAGCACCTCGTAGCTGAAGACAAAAGCCCGGTGCCTTCCAACTGGCCCCGAGCAGGAGCTGAAGAATGGCAAAGGAGGGACTAACTGACCTGGCTCATCCTGTGGGCATGGCTTTTTAGCTATTTTTGGTTCCTACCGACCGGGTTAGGTGGTCTGGCGCAGGCTGCCCTCTCTTGGTGGGTTAGAGCAATGGGACAGAATACCATCCAAGCAGTTATACCGTGTGATCCGGAGGTCCAGTTGAGTCACATTTTCCTCTGCTCTGGGTTGTGGCTTCCGTTTGGAGGATCTAGAGTCGGCTAGGGTCTGGGTATCCTGAGCATGTGAGCATGATTTGGTGAGGGGCTGACTCCTCTCCTGGGAACCTAAGATAGGGTGGGGGTAGGAGCAGCTTTGACCTGACCCCTTCTCCTGGAGCCTGCCTGGGCTGGGATTTGTCTGGAGTCATTCTTTCCTAGGACCCCCCAGGCTGCTTAGGTCTCCCACTTGCAAAGCGGTGGTAACCTGGTGAGTACTGGCCTAGCTGGTACTCTCTGGCCTCTCTCCCACCTCTGCTCCTAACTTGCCCCATGTCTTGTGAAAGGAGTCAGTGCTAAGGGCATATTAGATCTGTGGTCTCTTATCCACAGCATGTACAATGAATCCTTAACCCTTAAAACAAGAGCCATAAAAACAGAAACTTGATGAAGTAAGAGAAAGAATGTCGAGAATCATAACTTTAGTAGGTGAAATTTTAAAAACTACACAATCCATTTCCTGTTGGATGCTCAGAGGTGAGTTTTTCATAAACTGTGATAGGCACTATATAGTGGTACACTTCCTGGTTTGCAGGTATGACTAGAGAGCACCAAACAGAATGACTGGCCCTGATTTAGACAAGAACACTGCATTGAGGTACCAGAGCCCTGTGACTCTCAGTATTTCATCCCTTTAGTTTGTAAATATGCAGTTCCTGATCTGTGCTTGGCTCTGCACTTGGCCACTGGAGAGTACAAAGAGGGTATGGGATCTGGCTCCTGGCTCCACTTGGAGGGAGAAAGAATATCCATCCTTACATGAAGAATAAGGTAGCAACATAATAGAGGTCACATTGTTGTGTTTGGTCAAGTTCAGAGAAGATAGCACTCTACTAGAGATGGTACAAGGTGGCAGAAGAATTCTCGGCTTTTGAGCCACATGCGTGTGTGCTTGCTTAGTTGTGTCTGACTCTTTGTGATCCCATGGACTATATAGCCCAGGAGGCTCCTCTGTCTATGGGATTTTTCAGTCAAGAATATTGAAGTGAGTTGCCATTTCCTCCTCCAGAGGATCTTCCCGATCCAGAAAGCAAACCCAGGTCTCTTCCTTCGCCTGCACTGGCAGGTGGCCTCTTTACCACTGAGCCACCTGGGGAGCCCTCTGAGCCACATAAATATGTTCAAATCCTGCCCCATCACTCCCCAGCAGGAGACATTTCTTCTGTAGACCGGTCCTCACCGCTGTGCAGCATGTCGTGATTGTATCTGGAGCGTAGTAGAGGTTTGTTAACTCATCTGAGTCAACATTATCACCTTCTCTGGAGTAAAGTGGATGGTTTAGGGGTCCCAGGAGCTGATAGGTAGCTTGGGTTGTAAGAATAGTGTGGGTCCAGGCTTCAGGTTGATTCATCTCGGGAAGGTGGAGGCAGCCTCCGTGCGTTTCTGGGTAGGCGCCTTTTCTGGGGCATGCCAGGCATTGGCATATTCACGCTTCCACAGAACCTTTTTTCCCCCACCTTTAGTTTTGCAAGCTATGCTGATTCTTTCAGGTAATGGAAGCACTGCTTTTCTGGACCGATAATAGGCGGAAAGGACTAGCGACGTGTTGTGTATCTGCACGCATGCGCGCGCTTGTGCGCATGCGCGCGCGCTAGATCGGTTATTGGACTGGATTCAGTTTTAGAACTGTTCCACCTACTTCCTGTTTTCCTTACTTGTTTACACCTCAATTCCAGGAGGAGCCCTCAATCTGGGTCCACTATTTACAGGATGTTGAGATCTAAGAATTAGTGCCGTGAATAGCTGTATATTTCTGGAAATCGGGACCTCCAAAATAATCCAGCCTTTTCGCGCTTGATGCCTGAAGAAAGTAATGCTTAGGCGTTTTTGCAGAATCGCTGATGGTGATAAGATATTGAACTGGAGGGACTTTGGAAATCTTTGAGTTCTAGGCCGTTTGTTTTACAGCTAAAGAAACTGGATCTAGGGAGGTTAACTGGTGTTTCCAAGTCACATTACTTGCTGCTGGCCAAGAGGCTCGATAGGGCCAGCGTGCGTGCTTTCTCAGTCGCTAAGTTGCATCAGACTCTTTGTGACCCCGTGGACTGTAGCCTGCCAGAAAAAGAGGTGCAACTTTTATTCGTAAGTGTGATGATAAAACTGCTGGAAATCTCAGACATTTCCTTGAAAACATGAAGAAAAAGGAGCCAGTTGTCCCTGTGCTTATTTGGGGAACGGGAGTTCTCGGCTTGTGTGGATAGAAATTTATTCTGGAGGACTCTTCTCCCTTCTCCTTCTTCCAGACTCGGCGACACAGGAAGATGGGGAGTGAGTGAGGAAGGGTCATGCTGCTAGGGCCCTAGCCTGGACTCTCTGGATGTCTACAGTGGAACTTCTCTGAACTCGGGCTGGCTGACTGCCGGCCAGATAAGGAGTCCAGAGTCTGCACCAGCCAGGGGCCTCATGCGCTGTCCGGGGCAAGCAGGACAGCCTCACCACAAGGTCTCCGAGGCCCAGCTCTCTTCACACTTACTGTGGCCACCGAGGCTCCCAGAGGGGACTCCTTATTGGGCCCTGGGTAAGAAGAGGCAGAGACCCCTGTGGACCATCCCACGGGGGAGGGAAGGTGGCCACAGAATCAGCCTGGACAGAACTGTTGGCATGTCCATCCATGGGAAACCAACTTACCTACCTCCAATCTGACTGCATTATCAGGCCTCCTAACCTTTCTCCAACCTCAGGCCTGGGACAGTTCTGGGCTTTGGTGGAATGAGAATGTGACTGTCCTGAATTTATTACCATTGGGTCCCTAGAGGCTCTTAGCAGTGTTAATAATTAAAATGTCAGCTAAAAGTTGGGGATGTTTTAACAGTTCATTTTTTCTTAAAAGCATGTGCATGCGTTTTTTTCTTCCCATTTTACTGAAATATAACTGACAACACTGTATAAGTTTAAGGTGTACAGCATAATGATTTATATACAGTTATGAAATGAGTACCACAATAAATTTAATGAACATACGTCATCCCAGAGGTAAAAGATTAAAGAAACAGAAAAAAATTTTTTTTCTTTTTCCTTGTGATAAGAAGTCTTAGGATTTAACTTTCTTCACAACTTTCACATATGAAAGTTTAGTGGTGGTTTAGTTGCTCAGTTGGGTCCAACCTTTGTGACCCCATGAACTGTAGCCCACTACGCTCCTCTGTCCTTGGGATTTCCCAGGCAAGAATACTGGAGTGGGTTGCCATTTCCTTCTCCAGGGGATCTTCCCAACCCAGGGGTGGAACCTACATCTCCTGCATTGCAAGCAGATTCTTTACTGCTGAGCTGCCAGGGAACCCCCATATATGACCTGTAGCAGTGTTAATTATACTTAGCATGTTACACATTACTTCCCTAGTACTTATTTATCCTATAACTGGAAGTTTCTACCTTTTGACTGCCTTGATCCAATTAATTCCCCTCTCCACAACCTTTGTGTGCATATATATTTCTATTTGCCAAAACTTTGATTTAGGGCTGAGGCTTTGTCTTTGGGTCTAGGTCTGCTAATTACACTTGCAAATTGTATATAAAAATCACATCTGCATGTATGACCTGTGATTTCTGGTTTCTTTTATTACAATTTTTTTTTTTTACCATATGTGAATTATGTCTCAATAAAACGGAAGAAAAAAATTTTAACAGGAAAAAATTTTTTTCTACGCTATATAGTCCATAGTTCAAAGATTAGAAGGATAAAAAAGTTTAAAAAGCAACTACACATACATTAACTGCACCCCCACAAACTCCCACCCAGTACGGTAAAAGTCTCACCTCTGCCCACCCCATCCCATTTTTAGAAATGCTCTAAGTTAGCATTTTAGGCATTGTTAGCACTTTGCTTTTTTTCACCTAGCAACTATTCTGGATCTTGCCCTATCAACCCAGGAAGCACTTTTACTATGGCTGCATATTATTTCAGAAGAGGGAAGCACAGTAGTTTTAAACCAGCGCATGCTGCTTCCCTCTCTCCCCCAGTTTGGGTGGTTTCCAGTATTTTGTCAGTATGTGCAGGGCCACAGGGGATAACTTTACAATGGCATTTCCTACGTGCATACTACAGAAGAAGTTCTCAGAAGTGAGATTGCTGGGTGACAGGATATATAGATCTGTTAATTCGTCTCCTTTAAAAAATAACTATAGAGCAAGAATTTAAGACATTTGCAAATCAGTCCATGTGCAGAATCCTAGGTTTTGAATGCACACAC